TATGAGCATGTGTGCATGTGTGAGTGTGTGCACATGTGTGTGTGTGTTTGTAGTGTGTGTATGTGATTGTGAGTGTGTGTGTATGTGCACATGAATATAACATTGGGAGCATATGGTAGTCAGAAGAAAATAAGTAGGTTTCAGTTCTTATCTTCCACTATGTGAGTCCCAGGGATCTACCTCAGTGTGTCAGGTTTGGTGGCAAGGGTATTTATGCATACTGAGCCATCTAGCCATCCATCAGTTGGTTTTAAAGAAATATATGAATAAACTGGATGTGAAGTTGATGTGAGTGGCAATCTCACCAGAAACTTCTTGTATAAAATCTACTTCAGAGGAAGAAAATAGTTTCCACACAGAAAGAAGCCATGATAGACTTATTCATTTTTTTCTGTTCTGAATATATAATTTACTCAAATTGACAAGAAGGCTTTTCTAAGTAATGCAAAAGAGAAATTTATAGTTTATCAAATAACCTTAATATAATCATGAAGAAATAAAGCCTTTGATTGAGCAGATCTCTCTCTCCCTCCTCTCTCATCTCTCTCTCTCTCTCTCTCTCTCTCTCTCTCTCTCTCTCTCTCTCTCTCTCTCTCTCTCTCTCTCTCTCTCATGATATTGGTTGTTTTCACTTTTTGCTCTTTGGCTTTTTGAGGGGGCCTGCCACCCAGCTCCCAAATAAATCACACACGGAGGCTTATTCTTAGTTATAAATGCCCAGCCTTATCTTGCCAGCTTTTCTTAACTTTAAATTATCCCATCTACTTTTTGTCTCTGGGCTTTTTCCTTTTCTTACTTCTGTATATCTTACTTTGATTCTTCCTCCATGACTGGCTGGGTAGCTGGGTGGCTGGCCCCTAGCATCCTCCTCTCTTTGTTCTCCTGCTCTTCTTTTCCTCCCAGATCTCTCCTTCACAATCACATACACACACAACACACTCACACACATGCACATGCACACACTCAGACATGCACACATGCTCATACATTCACACACACTATTACACACTATTACACACACTCAGTAATAGACTCAAAAGGAACTAGACTTGCACAGGGTCAAAATATTCTCTATGAGGCAAGATCTCAAAATCTTTGCCTGCCAGCACCACCAATCTTTCTCCTGCCTTGCTATTGGCTGTTCAGCTCTTTATTACACCATCAGGTGTTTTACACAGGCAAATTGGCACAGCTTCACAGTTAAACAAATGCAACAAAAGAATGCAACACAACTTTGCATCATTAAACAAATGTTCCACAGCATAAACAAACTAACACATCTTAAAATAATATTCCACTATGTCTGATATATATTATAAATATAATATGTATATGCATATGAATAGTATATAATATATAGTATATAATATAAAATACTATAAATTAAATGTGGAACTTATAAGAAAGTATATTATCATGTTTGATATGCATGTACATAAGGTTGTTGATAGCACATTTGGGTTCATATACTGACAGCAATTTTATTTGTGCTATTCAGAAAACTAGATTTCCTAATAGCAAGGAGCCACGAGGAAAGGAGAGCAGTAATAAGCCAATAAAGCATGTCTTTGTCCTAATGACTGCAGCTTAAAGCTGATAGCTCTTCTTTTACTGTTGGCCTTAATGTTTGGCTTCTTCCTAGGAATAAAGTGTAAATATATCTTCCAAGAATGAGAAGGCCCTGAGAGACTCGGGGCATAACAGTTGCCCAGCTTTCTGCAGTAAGTTATGCTTCTCACGTATACCCACCCTTTCTGCAGCCTTCCCCCTGTTTTCTCTGCACATTCATTTCTCCTCAGACCTCCACAAACCCTACTATTCTTATCAACCTACTTCAGCTTAAATGCCATCTGCTCAGAGAGGGACTGACATATTTATTCTTGATTGTCGACCTGATAAAGAAACACCTAGGATGTTATTAAAGTATGCTTCTGGGTATATCTGTGAGGGTGTTTTCAGAGACAACCATGACCACGAGTCTTCTGATATAATTAATTGTTTATTTTGTTGATGTATTAAAATTTTAAACAGACCATTGGGAGTCAAGGGAATGGTTTAAAACGGGAAGTGGTTGGAGAAATGAAGTAACTGGGCATCTGTCTTGGGACTGAATGCTACCATGTTTACTGTTTCAGCTACCTAGTGCTTTCGTTTTACCATGAAGTATGGAAGCTTCTTTGGCCTATGCTCCAGTCATCATCATGTCATCGTTCCCCATGGACACAGAGAGTGACCATGGACTGGGCCTTCTGAAGCTCTGAATATAATTGTCTTCCCCCATACTGTGAGGTATTTTGTCATTATTAAAATCATATGACCAGCAAATAGTTCCTGATCATCAGACATGAGTTTCTTTCTGCCTCTGCCTTATCATCGCCAGTCCTCACCCTTTCTCTTTCAGATATGTCTTTTTATGGAAAGAAATCTATACCTTCCTATGGGATGAGAAGCTGGGTGACCACCTGCTGGTGGACAGGATGACCAGGTTGACTGAATACACTTCACAACTTTCACTATTGTTGTACAGGTTCCGCTTTAAGGAAAGTTTTGTAAGGAAGTCAGGTAAAATGACAATATCTGGATTGGGATGACAACCAACATTTATAATCAATCTTTATGCACAGGCTCAATGTAGGGGGGGAAAGTGAAAAACTAAAATATTAAAATAACTTGTTTTCACTGTTTATAGACATTTTTATTTTATACAATGTTCTTTGCTTTAAAAGAGGTTTGGAACTCGAGGTTAGCAGTGACTACATGGAAAAATTGAAGTTTGCAGCTACAAAGGACCATCTCTCCCAAAAGTAAATTGAAAAGATGGTATTGTGACCGACTGCAGTGAGCGCCAGTCACAGTGTCGTCTTTCTGAGTTGAATGACCCAGACATGCAGAAAGCAATTTACAGTTAGTCTAAGATGATCATAGTTAAATGCCAACCGATACGCAGACATTCACATCTTCATTACAAAAACATTTATTGCAAGGCCAGACATCCTCCATATATTGTTTGTACTGAATCCTTGTCTTACCCTCCTAGAGTGTTCAGTCCAGACAGCTTATAGGAAAAGTTACTGTTCTGGAAGGAAGCGAGTGTATGCAAGGTTAGACAGGAAAAAGAAACAAACTAACAAACAGCGGTGCAGACTGCTTGCCAGGAGCCAGGAAACACTTAGGACTGAGCCTCTCAAAGAACTGAAACCATAATGCTGGGGCTTAAGGTCTAGATAGCGATATCTGACAATGACCTTTTTCTGGTCACAGAAGTACAGTCTTGGGAAAATTAACACGAAGTGAAGTAATAGCAAATAAGGAAGTACAGGATTAATGAGGAGTTCAGAAACTGGCTTACTAGCACAGAACTCGTTTACATATTATGTATTTTTTGTTTATATTTATTTGAGACAAGGTGTCTCTGTGTAGCCCAGATAGCTTTAATTTCACAATCCAATCCATTTTCCTTAGTCACGTGAATGCTGTCCACTTTAAACCCTGGCGGTGGGGGTGGGAGGGAGGTGGAAGTTCAAAGATCAGGACGGACTGAATTGGGTGAAGATGAAGTTTGCGCCAGTGAACAAGAAATCAAGGAATCAGAGCCTGGGGGACAAGTCTTTGCTCCTCCTGTGGAACTGCTGTTTATGTTGAGTAGGTAGAAGGAGGAGTCCATTAGACGAACGGGTAAAACGAAAAGCAAGGATACTGATCTGTTCAACTCTGATTTCCGTGGCTACCAAACACCAAGTTACCGGGTTAAATCAGGCACCCAACAGAGGAAAAAAAAACCATGTTCCATTGCGCTGCGAGCATTGTGAATAAAAGCCCAGCTACTCTCTCCTTGCCCCTTTGCCGACCTCACGACTCTTGGTTTCCACCCAGCTTGGAAATCACACACCTCAGAAGTTTTGCTTTAGAGAGCAAAGCTGGGAAGAACATTTTCTGCAAGTAAAGAAAGTGAAAGCAGGGCAGTCCGAGAAGAATGGAAGGGCAAGACTATCAAGCAAGAAAACTTTACATTCTGGCTAGTTTTATGACTGCCTTCCTGCCTCAAGAGCTTAATTGATAAAGGTTTCTTAGACAGGCATTGGAGGGAGGGGGTACGGGGGCTTGAAAAAAAAAAGGAATTCTCCAAACTCAAAAGTCTCCCACTTTCTTGCTTTCAGATGCAAATACTTTGGGGGCAGGGAGGAGTGACCGGGAAGCTTGCACCCCTCCCGCTTTCAACCGTCCTTATTTCCCTGAGAAAAAATCCATCTGCGCAGATCAATCAGTCAGGAGGAGGAGGAGGATGCGCGCGGGTGTGGGTGTGTGCGCGCGCGTGCGGGATAATTGGCTCCCTCTTGGAGTGGACAGCCAGCAGCCCTTCCCGGGTCTCAAGGAGGTCCTGAAGTCCAGGTGGCTTCTCCCTCCAGGTGCTGTCAGTGGTCACCCGCTGGGATGCGCCCCACCCTCTAGCGCTCAATCCCGGGCGGGCCCCAGCGCTCCCTCTCCTTGTCACCCGTTTTCACCCTCTCCACCTCTCCGGGGACGCGCGCTCGGCTTGGCTCCCGACTCAGTACCCGAGACTACCATGCTGAGGAGCTAACGTGCGTGCGTGCGTGTGCGTGTGTGTGTGTGTGTGTGTGTGTGTGTGTGTGTGTGTGTGTGTGTGTGTGTGTGTGTGTCGGGGGTCCGGGGTCCGGGGTGGGGGGGACGATGGCCCGTCCATACACTACAGGGAGCGGGACCCTGGCTTTCAAGGCCCCGCAGGGTCCCCGCGCCCCGCGGAGTGCGCTGTGATTGGAGGAAGAGCGACGGCCGCGGGCCGAGCAGGTGCGGATCTCCTGCCTCCATGTCCGCCTGGCGCGCATAGCTGTGAACACTGCGTCTCTGGGCACCCGTGGGCCCCCCACCCCCATCCCCCACGCCAAGCGCTCATCCTTTCGGATGCAAACGCTGTGGTTTCAGGGATCTGACGCGGCTAGCAGGGTAGCGAGGCACTAGGTGAGTGTGTGTGCTGGGCTTGGGGCTAGGGAGGGCGCCCAGGCAAACGCGCGCCTTCGCAGCGCACCGCGGGGAGCAGGACAAATTTGTGAGCAGAGAGAGCGGGCGGGGTATCTGTGAGGAGTTTCCCGCGGCGTTCCCAAGTTACTGCGTGCTGTCGTGAGATGTGCTTCTGCCTGGCAGGACAGGCGTGAGGACCGAGCTCTCATGCGCTTGGCCAGGAAAGCAATGTTGACAGACACCAGGCACAACGAGAGGCAAGTAGGGTAAGAGCGAATCTCAGCTCATTCCAGATGCAGAGGTAAACAACCGCCGTTTGCACCGCTGTCCTCAAAGAGGTACCCAGCGGACCCTTCCCTGAACCTTGGACTGATGCTGGCGCAACTCCGGGCAGCCTGTACCGCCGGCTTCTGCAGAGGTCTTGGCTGGAAGGTGTGTGCCTGTGGGAGCAGGAATCCTTTGAACTGTCTACACTAGACCTCTTTGGCCTTGTGTGGATGTGGAAATCACTTAAGGTTGCTTTCCCCTCCTTGTAATTAGTATTCCGCTGATCGGGTGCATCTGCAGGGTTTGCCTCTGGCTCCTCCTCGTTGAACCTTAGGTGTGAGCTGGGAAAAGGGCGCCCTGCTTCTCTGGAATGTATGCTGTGCTTGGACTTCTTCTTGGGTTCACTTGGCACAAGGCTAGTTGCTGGTATTCAGCCTTCTAGCGTGGATTAATACAAAAGGACCTTTGCTCTGAATGCCTTCACGTTTTATATCCTTAACCCTTCGGATTTCTTAGATGTCATAGTTCAGGTGAGTAAAGATTATCAAAATGAGTTAAGCCACCACTGGAGTAATCATAAGCTGTTGAAAAAAAATCATAGGTTGAGCATCTCAAGACTGGAGAACTGCATACTAAACCATGACTATTTGTAGAACACTTTTTACTTTGCAGGAAATATTTTGTCCTTTTTAGGTCATGTACTAAATTCAATATTTATAAAAGTAAGACTTGCCCTTCACGATGTCAGTGCCCAGCAAGTTTTATATATATATATATATATATATATATATATATATATATATATATATATACATACATACATACAGAGGCAGGTGGACAGAACTTTATATCTGTGTCTATACAGAGAGTAAAAATTAATGTCACTATATCGACATTGCAAATTGACGATATACATTGGTAAAGACAGATTGCCAACACATACAAAAAAAAGTATGTTTTAAAGAGCAGCAAGCTTTAACAAAGGAAAGTTTGTGTTGATGCAATATAAGCAACATCTAAGTAGTTTTTCTGTCTTTATAAAGAGAAGTTGTTCATGGGAAGGAAGAACTAAGGGAAAAAGCAATTATATTTGCAGCTACTAGAAACCCACCAGAACAGATTATTTTCTAAAGAACTAGGTAGACATTATGTTGACCCTAATGCTTTTTCTTGTTACTCTATGTGAAAGAGAAATGCATTAAAAATGTTTTTCTTCATTTTGAGGGCCTATTTTGAAAAGTATGATGTAAAATGATAAAGTGTGGGTGCTAGTCAGGCCAGCAACTTTATGAAAATCTGTCTTGTGTGTTGTTTAGTTGTCAATGACTGGGGGGAGCTGTGAGATGACATCCAATTTTAATTGTTTTGTCTGAGAAAGCTTCCTGAAATTCTGTGTGTGAAGAAAAATAAAGCAGCAAACCCATCCCCCTCCTTGAAGGTATTACAGTTTGCGGTGTAACTAAAGGGCATGTGCACTCGCAGGGTGCGATATTATTGTAGTTAAGGACTGTGATAGGTCACTAGAATTGTGTTAACTCTCGGTTGACAGACGCACCACTCTTCCTAAGTCTACTTTTATTGATTTAATAGCAGAGAACTCTTTCTTTTTCTTTCTTTCTTTCTTTGTTTTAAAAAGGGTTACTTGTAAGACATCTATATTCTTGCAACTCGAATTGACTGTAGGTTTTAGTGTCCAATGGGGAAGAGAGAGGAGAGCACATTTTGTTGGCCACTGTTCAGTCTTCTTTGGTCTGAAAAATCAAACCACTGTCTCGTCTCAGGCATCATTTTCTTGCCAGCATTCTTATTATTCAGTATTTTGGTTTCTAAATGGCAATACTGGTCTAAATTTCTCAGACTGTATGTGGTAAGAAAAAGTGAATACATCTATGTTTCAAGTTCAATACATTATTAGATCTTTCAAAAGTGTATTATAATGTATTAAATCCATAGTTTGTTCTCTGTTGTACATATTTATTTTTGAGTGATTTCAATTTTCATGGATTTTACAATGTTTTACATTTATTGCTTTAACAGCTTTCATCACATCTAGTACTCTTCCTCTTGGTTGAAAAAAATATGTTTTTATTTGCTTGGAAGGTTTTAAAGGCATAGCCTAAATTGGGAGTTTCAGAAACTTCCAGAATAACCAGCATGCATGAGCTAATCTCAAAGGGAGTGCAATGCAAGTGTTTCTACCTTGAATAAAGAAGTCTGATGCTCCTTGCTGGGGTGACACAGGGGAGCTGAGGACAAGCTACTAAACCATGTGACGAGTGAGTCCTGTGTGACCATCTCCCTTGCCTGAGCAAGCAGAGATGATCTAGCTGTGACCAGCAGTGCAACAGTGCCTCCCATGGGAACTTGCTGGCTCTGCAGAGAAACCCCTCTGATCACTGCCCCTCCCCCACCTTGTCATTCTGCAGCACTCCTTAGTGACAAAATTTCCAGGGCAATCGAATATGCAGACGCCTGCCCGTGCATTCATTTCTTATTATAGCACAGATTTTTTATTATTCCAGACTTTACTTCCTGCTATTTTGTATAGTGTTCACTGAAACATGAAGCCTTTCATGGAAATCACACCTGGCACAAGGTAAATACAAGGGCAAATTAAAATTTAAAACTGGAAAAGCCATGATTTCTTATAAGAATAAAATATAAAGATATAGCCCTGTGAGTACAATATCTCCATTCAGTTATTACATAAATAATTCAGAACGCCTTGCTTTGTCACTTTGTTTACTTCTTAATTTATACAGGCTTCTCTCCTCCTTCCATATAAACCATGTGTCTTTCTCATTTTTTATTTCTTTCTCTCAAAGTAGTGGTTGTCTGTGCTTCAGTGAAATCAACTCTATAGTTCACTTAGAGAAGTTTTCCCCCTCATTTGATAAACAGATGCACACTACAGGCTATGTGATTCATTTCCAGGGCCCCTGCCTGCATACTGAGGCCAGATATCAATCAGTAGGAGATTGTGGTCTGTGGCTATAATGTTGTATGGCCTAGGGAGCTAATGGATTTCATCATGGTTTCATTACAGAGAATTGTCATATCCCAGAAAGTCCTAAGGCTCACTAATTGAAATGAAATATATATATAAAGTTATATACACATATATATAAAGTTATATATACATATATATGTAATTCATAATACAAAGGGGTGGAATTTCACCAATATTAAATTCACAGAATGTTATGAAAAACTTTAAATAGTATATACATTCAGCTAATTGTCCAGTTAGAATTGCCATACTAGAATCTGAAGATGGAAAATTAAATTTAGAATGATAATAGTAGCCGACATCTTCAAATGGTAGGATTTATGGTAACAACACATAAGACACAACTGGTATATTAGTAATTTTGACAAACGAATTGGTCCCATTTATCCATTTTATATTATAAAATACTGTTCTAAATTTATGCCCTATTTCTAAAATTCCCAGTGGAATATTGTTCAGTTTTCCCGTGGAAACGGTTAACTTTTTAGTATATTAACTTACCTTCTGATTGTCAAGGTATTTTAGTTGTGAGATGCTAATCCTAATTTTGTATACTGTGCATTGTCTATTTTTTAATACATTGAAGAAAGTTGCTAGAAAACAGGTCCGTTTAACCCTTTACCATTATCCTGCCCGCCCCCATTCTTCTGAATGACAATCAAAATTATTTCTTACATTAAAAATTTCAAGTTTAAGGTTTAGTAAAAACTTTCAACATGATTGTGTATACTTTGCTCATGAGAAAGATGGGATATTGGAGGACTGTACATAACAAAGGGATTGACTACCTAAGTAATTCTTAGCAAATATCTGAAAATACTGCCACCACCTGCGTGTCCCCACTACCATCAGGAAGGATCTATGTGACCTTGGACTTTTCATGAGGATTCTGTAGAATTCATTTTTCTTATGTTACTCCTCTGTAGCTTTATCAACACCTTCCAGTAAGTATCAAGAGCAGAATATTCGTGAGTTCTTCATGTTTTTCTCCAGCATGAACTCTCAAAAAAAAAAAAAAACAGAGTATTTCATTCTTAGCATTGAAGTGACATTTTCTTTGACTCTTTCATAGAAATTGCCTTTACTAGCATGGCTTGTAATGACATAGTAGGAAAGAAATGTGGCTAATATTCTGAAAGGCTTCTTGTCTGAGTCTTTTCTCTCAAATGCAGAATTCTGATGTGCTCAGCCATTAATTGAAAGATATTATAATGCATCTCTTTATTTAAAATGTATTAAATGATTTTACTTTATAAATAAATAAAAGCAACTATGAGATGTAATATACGTTATGCCAAACCAACTACTCCAACTTTTTTAAATAACAGAAAGGACCTCATTGGTTACAGGTGCCTGCTATCCAGGGGAAGCAAGGGTGCATGAAGATCTTAAAGGGATATACATATATAATTTACATATATATAATTTATATATGTACATTATATGTATATTCTGTACAGTACCTTCTAACTACTGGTGTTCTTATATTTCTGCTTTTAAGCAAGTGTGTTGTTTTTCTTTCATAAGGATTCATTAAAAATGTGCTGTTTCTCAAAATGTGCTAAAACTTTAAAACAATCTTGGACATGACAGTTTCCTTGAAATAGATCAACAGCACAATGATTCTTCAGTTGTTATTATCACAGCAATAATTTTGTATTAGTGATTATTAATGATAAGACAACAATGCACCCAAACGAATAGCAGTTAAGATTCTGGAATTGCTTGTCAGCCAACTGCTATGAATTTGTTTCTGGATCTCATGGTCCCTTCTACTAAATGCATTGACAGTCTTCAAATATAATGGTCTACTGCTACTTTTCTAAAAAAATGCAAACTGTTTCACTTATCTTTGCACTGTCCTGTTTTATTTAATCATGAATTATACTAATTTTAAAGTGCTAGGCCCTCTTGCTTTAAATCAATATTATCAATAGAAAGTAAATTATGTGTTAGTATGAGATCCATTAACTATATCTTAAAGCAGTTTCAGAACTAGACTTGATACAGACTCCAGACAACATAAGCAGTTGTTCCTTGCCTAGAGTTTAGCAAAACTATGAAAACAAAAGTTCTTGAACTGAAATAAAATGTTGCTTAGTTATAGTGGACATCAATAAATATATTCCAATTACTACAAAATCTAAGCCAGTAATCTGTTTCCTGTCATATTATCCGTGATTACATATCACATCTGTTTCTATAAAGCATTTAACACAGTGTTCTTTTCTCAAAACACAATAGTACACATCTACACTGTCAGACAAATCTTTTAGTTGCTGTTCATATTTGTTTTTCAACCAAGCTGTCTGTATATAAGCTAGGATAGCCTTGAATACTATCCTCTGCCTCCCAGGTACTGGAGTCACAGGGAGCATCTCAGTGCATTTTAGCTGTAAACCTGCCTTTTAAAGGCTGAGCCATCTTTCTAGCCCTTAATGCATTCTTAGGTATGCTTTAAAAACTCTTACAGCTATCTGCTAACATGCAGGGCCTGAATATGAGCTACTTTACACTGCT